GTTATAACTGGATTTTACTGTAACAATATATCAAAGAACTTCTACATAAGATACAAAAAAATGTGCAAAACAAAGTACCAGCAGTAGGTACATCTAGTGACGGCAATAATTTCATTATAAAGTGTTAGATATAATTTTTCACACCTCTTTCCGTGTCAGTGACATGCAAAGCACTGGGTATATTCTTGCAGGGACAACCAATTTCCAGCTGTCAGAAGGACTTTATGCTGGGATGTGTGCATGCACGTCTTACTCTGCGTGATCCGGCTCTGAACCATTTCTTTCAAAAGTACTAGATATTTCAGACCCTTTGCAATTGCCGTGTTTTCTGGTATGGATGAACTCAGATGAGCTCTATCCCTGGAGTGCTACAGCTCTCCCATATCAGTGTCAGTTCCATGAAAAAAGGATGGAGAGCAAATAAAGCATTGCTTTCCAGTCTTTATTTCCCGGCCTTGACTTCTTTTGCAGTTCATAAAATGCATTTCTGTCCTTCTTTGTAAAACCTGTTTATAGGACTCTGATGAGTATGGTTAGCCCAAATATCTTCTCCTCATGCATTGTGTCAGGATGCCCAGTGAGAGGTGAGAACTGTTCATATATGCAGGCATTTCTGCCATAATGCGACAGATGCATTTCCGTAAAACCTTGTGCAATCTAAAATCATGCAATACAAAAATAGCAGAGCTTATGGTAAAACAGGACTGGGGTCGAACCACTTAAAATGCAGCCATTAAAATTATGTTCGAAACGCTTTGTTATATCAAGCTTTTCTTTGAGTTTTAAAGCTTTTTTTGGTTACCTAAACATCTGAAACTTGAACACTTTCATGAAACCTTGTTCACTATGTTTAGGACAAAGAAGTAAAGTTGTGAAAATTAGTGGTGTCTTACTTTTGAAGTAAACTATAATCTAGGATGCTATATTTTACTACTTCAGGAAACATCAAAGGCTAGCAACCTGAAGCTGATTTTAAGACCTCAAGTGTAAAATGCAGTCGTAGTGACGTGACTGGTATTTTAGAGTTTCATTGACTTTTTCAAGTTTTGGCTGATTTCACATTGGGGAATTAAATTTGATGCATCTCATAGACACCTTCTGATTCATGGCAGTTCTTCTTAGCACCCCATGAAATTTGCATTTCCGAAAGCGTATGGGCTAAATGACCTGAGTATCAAGAGCGTTCCTCCACGGACCAGCACATTCAGGGAATGTAAACACCTATAAGCCAAAAAGCGATTAATGTCATATGGCTTTCTGTTCCCTATTAACTAATCGTATATGAGCCGCTTTGCATGCACAATGATAGAACTACCTGTGCTTTTTCTTTTATTTATATACAACTGTATTTATTATAGAGCGACAAGGTAGCCCAGAGGAGTGTGCATTTTCTCCCTGTACTCTGGGTGCCTCCCTCCATCCACAGACATGCAGACAGGTTACAGGTGGCCACAGCGTGTGCTGATGTGTATGTGTCTGGCTATAGACTGACATCTCATCCAGGGTGTACCCCAGCCCCGTGGACTGTGCTGCCTAGGATATGTCACAGCCCCCCACCAGGATGAGTGGTTAGAAGGCATATGGATGTATTTTTTGTGTGCAGTGTTTATTGGCAGGAGTGTTTTTAAGCTAATATCATAATGGCACCCTACACTAATTGTGTTTTGGTCATACTGCACTTATACTAATATACACTATATTAGATTTGCGTGAAAGCTGTAGAAGGGCCAGTGTCTTGCTTTCAGCCAGCATTAGCCTGGCGTCCTGAGCCGTTCCAGTCCTTTACCTCCTAAGTGACCCGCCAGTTCCATGCACTCATCACGCTTCGTCAACTTAGTGCCTTAACTAAAGATTCATCTCAGATCTCGTCTCCTCTGCCGATGCAGAACAATACTCGCGATGAACCCGCTGAGCGGGTCTGCGCCATTCCCAGTGCGGTCGACCGCGTGTGACGCTGTCTCTGCTGCAGGATGACTCAGTGGTCACGCTGACGGGCCGCATTCCACTGGTACCTGCGTCACTTTCACTGGCTTCTGATGGAACTCGCTACATGGTAAGATAAGGGGGGGGGATGCTTCATTTCTTCTTCCATATATGCCAAAAGCAAAACTGACTTTATTAAAAAACGCAAAAACCAACATTAAAATTCACTACCCAGAGAGCCCAGGCCTGTGAGAATGATAAATTACCATTGCTCTTCGAAATGTGACCGTTTTTTTCTCTTTTTATCTTCTCTTCTTATTTATTTAGTTTTAGTCCTGCATGCTTAATAACCTGCAGTCAATTGACCATTTTTCTTCAGTTCATTAGTTTAAACGGTTCCTCTTTGTAATGGCTCCACCCTCCGATTCACATGGAATGGCAACCGTGCGACTAACCACCCAATTTGGTTAAATGCCTTTGCGTTTTGGTCACTTCTTTTCTTCCTAAGACCAAGGGTGCATTATTTATAGCCTAAGACAGTGTCACTTCCCCTCATGTGCCTCCTCATGCAAAAAGCCACCAGGCAGCGTGAAAAGCCAAAGGAAACTGCGCTGGGCACCGGGTCGGGCTGCGTCCTCGACGGAATCCTCGGGGCAACAACCCGCCGATCTTTCCAACTCCTTACCGCCAGTATAGATGGCTTTCCTCCACAGAGGCAACACTTGCATCTCATTAGCGAGGCGCCATGTTCAATGACTCAATAAATGGTATTTTAAGGACAAACATTAGCGAAAACATGAATCCCAGTGTACAGATAATACTGGGTTCAGTCTGCTGTAGCTCCTGGCTACAGCGTGTGAAAACCAACGTGAAAGCAGCCGTGACCATCGGGACCTGCATCGGTGTGTTCGTGTCTTTTGCGTGATATGTTGTTTTTCGCTCCGCTGAAGCTAGCCATGAGCATCCCCTCGCATCTCTGCCCGAGCCACAATAAGAGTCTCATCAGGGGCCGACTTTGTAGTAAATGTATCTTTTAATAAAGTTATACCTTTGTTACTCCACTAGCTTGAGTTTGCCTTCAAAAACCACGGAGGTCTTTCCCTGCCGACAGGACTGGAGGGAGACCCCCATGGCTGCCAGGCAAACAACATACAAAAGCATACATCTCCTCGCTCCTCCTCGTTTACAAGGTTAAGCTCTTGGTCAGGTTACATCATTTCACATGTCTTTTTGTACAGAAACCAGGATTTTTCCCACACGTGTCCTTGCTACCATGTGGGAGTTTTGCTGAAATACAGAATAACGCATAAAGCGACACACAAAATGACACGTGGTTGAAAAATGTGAGTACATCGTCCTCCATAGTAAGAAGAAAGCGAGAACACAGTTGTGGTGGTCAGATCAAGTTTTTGGGGGTGATGGGGTTTGGGAATTTTTGACCTGGGTGGCGGGATTAGCCTTCTGCCACAGCTGAGATAATGCTGTAGATACGCAAAGAAACCTCTCTGTAAATAACAGCCATCTTCATGTACGCCGTTCAGTTCATTTAGCTATAGCGTATTAATAGTGATTTTTTAATCAACAGTACATGATGTCAATAAAGTATCTGTCATAAGCCTTTACTCAGGTGTTATAAAAGTAAGCCCTGGCAGAAATGAAAGCATTTATATGAACAAGATGAGCACCCTGATGACACAATGCATAATGTGTATGACCATGAGCATTATTCGGCCTCAGAGATCCCAGCCTTTGGCTGGATCATGTGGGGCCACTGACTGGCTGCACGTTGCCTATTAACTCATAACACTGCATGTATTTACAATGGGCAACTAATGATTACCAGTATCTTTAGACAAAGTATGAGGGAACTTAATTTTAGAAAGATAACAAAAGAAGGAGAACTAGACAGATAAAACGGTTAAACCTGTGGGGCTTTTCGGATTCCCGCCATACCGAAATAAAAGAGAGAGGCAGGCATGGAGCCCAATTCACTCTAAGACCCCAGCCGCCACGCATACATGCGGGCCCAAACATACACACACGCACGTACGCACGCACACACACACACACAAACGTTCTCACTCAAGATGAAGTTATACACTTTCGGAGATAGAACACTGTGGGTAGAGTTTTAACACTTTCATCTTTCTTGAAGTCAGTTCCCCTTTAACAGAGGCTGAGAGAGCAGTGAATTACATTAGCCCCCCCGAGACCTGGATATTTCACCGGCCTTATTCATGCATTTGGAGAATACACATGCTCGATATGTATTTATGTATTTTGGGTGAATAATTCCCCACATGAATAGAAGGACTCACAATTTCACTCCGTTGCTCCAGATTTTGAGATGAGGAGGACTGGACACAATCAGCTTAACTGTGGAAGTAAATTCACAATGCAACTGTCTCTCCAGAGTCCAGGGCAGTAAGTAACCCAGTGATGCAGCAGGCTCTCCGAGATGTTAATTAAAAGTGTCTGGCCGTGAAAATAACGAATATCAGAATGACTGGTGTAGCCAGTAGAACTGAACTAAATAGCTTCAGACCTCCACTTAATATGAAATACTGCACTTACTGATTAAATGTAAAAAAAAATACATGGAAGAAAATGTCATAAAGTTCAAAGACTGCTCGTACCTGTCATATCAAAATACATCTATCTAAAACAAAAACCCTTTTGAATATAAATATTATGACAAACCTATGGAAATATTTAGTATTTCACATTTCTAAGTCACATGTTCTCAAAATAAATATATCCATATAAAGAAGGTGAACAAGAAGATGACCCCACTACGTAGATAATCAGAGCTAGACAGGCAGCCACATGACGCAATGACAGACGAGGGACAGGAGCGGTACCAGGAACAGAGGGGGTCTGAGCTCTCTGTTCATAAAAACATATCACTACAAGAACACAGAGCAACTCACAGTGGCTGAGGGGAGACCCAACTACATGCATACACACACACACACACACACACACACACACACACACACACACGCACACACTGTTTTTTTTCTTCTCTTTTCTCTATGAGTTGTTGAAGTTTCCAATGCCAGAAGGCAAAAAAACACAAATGAAACAGAAACTGGGTGAAACTGGGAGGGGGAAGATGAAGCTGAAGTGGCCCCAGAAAAGCAGGACAGACAGAGCTGGGAGGGGGGGGGAGGGAGTCCATCTGCTGGGATCCTGCCGGCTGCTGTCTGTCTGCGTCTGTCTCAGCGGCCCGTCTCCACCGCAGGAGAATCCGGATGCCGGCAGGCCACACAGCTCAGCATTCTTCTGGCTGCCTACTGGTCGGGGGAAGCGTCCGCCCGGTCCTCACCGGTCCTCACCGGTCCTCGCCGGTCCTCGCCGGTCCTCACCGGCCACCGCGCCAGCCGGGAGGCTCTGTTCTCCTGTGTGAGGGGACGTGTTGCGAGGCGCATCCAACCGTCATAAACTGAATCATGTAAAAAAGTATCCCAGAATGGAGGGCAGTCAGAGCAGGGCGGGGGGACTGGGGCAACACTTTGAAAAAGGGGAAAGAGGGAGTTCCTCTAATGTCCTTCCTTCCTTCTATATTTACATGGTGGGAGAGGGGAGACACTTTCAGTCTGTCCACATTCCACGCATGGACTGGGCAGGTAGAAGGGGTCATTAGTGAAGAAGCAAGAACACATCACCATACAGTGAATCCCCTTCCTTTTTGGGCAGGCACGCCCGTAGGTCGGACTGGGGTGGGGGAGGGGGGAGGGCAGAACAGTAGTCCGCAATGGATGTGAGCTCTTCTGGAGCTGGCAGAGGTGAAGAGTGCTGGGACAGATGAATGGAGACAAGACATGTTCCCGGTGAGTGATCTCTCTCTGTCGACGATGGTCCTAAGACCTGTGGAGAAGTGGGCGGGGGGGGGGAAGTAAGAGAAAGAAGGCAGTCAAACTCCATCCAAGACTGGGAAGGCCTTCATTATGCAGTATCACCATCAGAAAGGTGTCAGAAGGTCCAGGCCACTGCACTTTCAGGATGGAAGTCCCTGGAGATTTCCTCACATGTTCATTACTGATGGCTGCGGAAACCCCAACAAATAAACACACACAAACACACAGTTTTGTATTGATTTTGTAATTATTTCTATCCAGTCGCTCAACACTCAATACATTTATGTGCATTGTTACCACGCCTTAGCTGTGTAACACTAGCTGCTGCATTAATCAACTGCTGCAGACCCACATGTGACATTACTGTCCTTTCTTATGCATCTGCCATTTCCATCAGCTCACTTGTCGCAAAATCATTACATGTCGTACGTGTGTCTGTAATACATAAACATTCTTTGAAGAGCTTAAACTGCCGTTATATATTAATTAAAGAGCCTCAGGTTAAAACACGTAGCTTCTGCGTGGGCCTGGGACGGCCGGGCCTGCTGCCGTGGTTTGCATGTGTGCTCGGGAGCCCCATGTGAGGCCAGTGGAGATGGTTCCACTGACATGGAGGGGCTCCGGACAGCAGAAGCTGCATCTCACTGGCTGTCTGTGCTGTCGTGCATGAAGCAGCCTGAAGGGATGGGAGTGTGGACTTGCATACTAAGAGAGGGCAATGCAGTACGGCACCTCGCTCCCCCCTCGCCACACTTTCTCTCTCCCTCGTCTTCCACCCAGCCTCTCCCTCCTATGTCTTCCTGCTCCGCCTTCATTCTCATGCAAGCTCTCTGCCCCCCCCCCCTCCCGCCTCTTTAATCATCATTCAGCTAGCTAGATGGCCAATGCTGGTTTGATTGACACGCTACAGCGGAGGTTAGGAATCCCAATTGCTGCAATTCAGTCCGCGATTAGCACTTGTTTGGACCTGGAATGGAACCTGAACTAGCTGATGATTTGACCCGACCCGCCGACTGATAATTAAGATCTGAGTGGGACTGAATGCTAACAGAAGAAGCTGCCAAACTGGATGCGGCATCAATTGTCAGGAGATTAGCTTTAATTACAGGTCAGCGCAGTGGCTTAGTAGGTAGGGTTGGCACCGCAGCCCCCCCCCCAGCTGTATGCGTGCGTGTCCCCCTCCCACGCCTCGTGACAGCTTCCTCCCAGAGCCTAAAGACTGTGTGATCCAGGTGAACTTCTGACTTTAAATTTCCTGTCTGGTGCCTCTCGCTGGAGCACATCCTCCTTCACACTCTCGGCTTTCCGGCACTGGATCTCAGTCACTGCGTCCTGATTGTATACGTGGTTAAAGACGACACGCGGATGACATGAAATGATATATGGATAGATTGCTTTAACTCCAGCACTGCTTTAATCCTAGCAATTATATCCATCCATCTATCTTACAACCATTTATCCTGGTCAGGGTCGTGGCTTGGGGGGGGGGCGGTGGAATGTCAGCCTATTACAGGGTACACAGACACACACAATTATAGTCTATGGGTAATTTAGAAATACCAATTAGCCTAACTGCATGTCTGCGGGCTGTGAGAACCTGCAGACTGCACACGCGCAGAGCAGGCCGGAAATCGAGCCCCCGTCCCGGGAGGGGTGAGGCGCTGAGCCGACAGTGCGACCCTCTGAACTTCCGGGCCGGGATATATTACATGACAAAACGGGAGCTTGGGGTTCGGTGTCTTTTATGGCGACCCCCATCTGCTCCCCTCCCCTACACCTGTGATGTCATACAGGTACAACAGGAGCTATTCCATTATCAGTTAAGGAGCTCCTGGAACATTCCAGAAAAACACATTCCACTTATCTCTGATTATAATGGTGGTTGGGTCCCAAACCAGTTGAATGCTTCTGCCGCCTAAACATGCTTAAAGCTTGAACTGCCTCTGTGTATGAAATGCCACATAAATAAACTTTCCTTACCTAAAAGTATCAGACAAGTAATGTGACGATAAACTACATAAAACAATAAGGACAGAGATATCAGTCCCAAGTTCTATATAATGCTATGTTTAATAAGCAATAATACTTGAGGTATTTGCAGATTACTTACAACATGACTAGTTTGCCATAGGAGCATTTACAGTCGAAAAAGAAATAGTATATTTGGGATCAGCCAATGGAAACGTGCCTTTAAAATGTTGCATTTTAATTCCACAGAATCACAAATTGAATCAGATTGTAAGTGTATGTCGTCCCTGTCCTCTGAGACATCAGGCCTGTTTAACAAGCATGTAAAAACCTTGTGAAGGCAAATATGGACAAAACGAGAATCGCCAGTCAACATTACATAAAAGACCCCGACATTGATCTGCTTAAGCTTTTATGGAATTCATGCTGCACTTAAGTCAAGAAAATACTGATTTTACTTTCTGGTTCACAGAATCACCAAAAAAAGCCATCACTTCTATACCAAAGAGCAGTAGTAGCGTATCATGTGCTGGATAACAGTGCTCAAGCTGCACACTCTCTCACAAACTATTGTGTTACACATGACCGTGTCCATCCTCAAGGGAATCCCATCGTTCTTAGAGCAAATGCTAAGGATCTCTGAAGAGCAAAGCTAAAAAGGTGAGGGAGTCATTCTGGGAGAAACTAAAGCGTCTTAAAGAAACAGTCAGTATGACTGTTCAGTCCCCCACTGCCTGTTTAAGGGAGGCATCTCACTGTATTTATACAACAATTCCTGGCATTCTGTAAAACAAAACAGGACCATTTGTTTCTGTGGTCCCTATGAAAATATTGGATGCAATCATACGGCACTGTGTTGATGTCATAGGCCGATGGTGCCGATACATATTAAGTCTGAGAGTAATGAAGGACGAACGCTGCACGCACTCACGCCTGCAAGTCCCGGCACTCGCGGCTCCCTCCGGCGTCTCTGCATAAATGATTCACAGAGGAGATCTGCAAGTCTGACGTTCTAAACCATCAATATGAATCTTTAAAAGATTTAAATGCAATTCTGCACATCCGAACAGAATTCCATGAATCTAAAGCCCCCATAGGTACATATTTATAAGGTGACTATTACCCACTGTCTTCCCTTTGCTGGTAATTGGCGATGATTCATTGGGATCTCTCTGGGGACGCCTGCCGAGAGATCCATCACTGAATATTCCCTGCCACTTGTGGACACGCCCGTTTGATAAGTGCTCTTAAAATACTGCTTCTTCATTTCCCAACCTCCTCAAAAAGTGTTTTTCATCATTTTTCAGTGTTCAGTATCACAAAGGGCTGAACAAAAAAATCCCCCAGTCAAAGAACTGACCTACAGTACTGCATTCACAAAACACCATCATTACTGTTATTATTTTTTATTATTATTACGTGAAGCGATCACTATGACCACAGTAAGGTCATGACAGCAGACCGAAGACCACCGCTAGAATCACATAATGGCATCTGATTAAGCAATGAATTATAAAGGAGAACAAATTATACATTTTGCTTTGAGCACTTTCCCTACTTAATAAAGCCATTCCTTTAAAAACAGGAAAAGCCATCATGGTCAAAATCAATCCATCCATCAATTTTCTGAATCCACTTGTCCCATTCATGGTCACAGGGAGTTCGAAGCCTATCCTGGATGCTAAGGATGCAAGGCAAGTAACAACCCAGGGCAGGGCTCACTCACACATGCACACCGACAGGCAATTTGGTATCTCCAATTAACCTCAGCATGTTTTTGGACTGTGGGAGGAAGCTGGAGTACCAGGAGGAGACACCCAACGATGACACGGGGAGAACATGCAAACTCCACACATACGGAGCCATGAGGGAGACTGCAACCCGGGTCCCAGAGGTGTGAGGTGACAGTGCTAACGGTTGTGGCACCGTGCCACCCCCCATGGCTGAAATATAATCCAAGTAGAGGCACTGTACTGTTTTAGTCTTCAGGTCAGTCATGGAAGGGGGAGAAATATGGTCTTGGAATCTAAAAAAAAGATGGGCAAGTATCGTGACAGTACCATGAGAGCAGCCTGGCCTCATGATCAGAGCTGTCTTTGCCCAAGTCAGCAGAGAACCTCTAAAGGGGAGCGTGACACCCTCAGGACAAGTCAGAGGGAACATCACAGCAGAGAGAGCGGGATCCGTGCTTTGCGGCTCTGCCTGCACCTTTCTCTACATGCGCTGGATCATGGGTGTAACTTCCAGGGGGGTTAGGGGGGTCATGACCCCCCCAATAATCAGATCCAGCCAATAGAACCCCCCCAATAATCATGTTTCCCCTGTAATGGGTGGAGACCTCGACCCCCCCAATGTTCCAGCCGAAGTTACGCCCTTGCGCTGGATGTTCCCTCAGTGAACGGCCCACCCAGGGCGAGCTGCAAAGTGTAAGTGATGATGACAAACAGCAGCTGGGCTGTATATTTATCTAGTTAGATGCAGCGTTGGCCGGCGCGCAGCCCCCGCAGCCCCCGCAGCCCCCGCCCCCCGTCTCGCTTGGCACAGTTACAGGGCGCGGTAGGACTTCTGGGAGCAGGGCTCCAGCATATCGACGGCAGGTTCCAGGCAGCCGTCTCCAGCTTCAGGTGTCCTGATTAGCCGCTAATCCTGTTTCAGCCCATTGCTGAGGAGGTAAACGGCTCCAGACCAATCCTAATCAAGGAAGACCTAAAGACAATTGGCCTGATAGAAGAGTTTTATATGATTTCATGCCCATTATCTTAGAATGGAGCAGGAATACTTCTGAGACAACAGAAAACTTGCTGCTATCCCTTCAGTGTTATTCCGAGAACACCACTAATCCCCCACCATGCAGTCATACCAAGCTCGGTGAGTTAGGTCCTTACTGTGTACTCATGTTTGATGAGAAATACCCAATGTGATGAACACTGAGAAACAGCCAAAGAGGAACCAACATGCACAGAAGAAAAGGCTGTACACTCACCTCCCCTGGCTCTTCGTGCTTTAAGAGGGCTCCTTGGGCAAAGGCTACAGGTAAGAGACAAAAGAGTCAGACAGAAGAACAAAGATAAGCAGTAAGGCAGGTCAGCTGCTGGCTTCCTGTTGAGTTCACAAACAATTCCCATCATTATTCATTCTTATCACCTAAAAGTCTAGACTAGAGAAGACATCAAACACGTACCATACCCTCGATGGTAAGAATGAGAACGGTCACGGAAAAAGATGAAAACCGAACATTATTTTTTGAGATTTGTACTCTTCTACTTCAATATTTTCAAAGGACTGCAAGAGTCAGTTTTGCTGAAGCTGATGATGTCTGATGAATGCAAAGTTATGGATGGTCAGGGATGTGGCACCTCCATTTTCCCCCTTGGTACAGCTGCTTGGAAGCGCACTTGTACAACGATGCCCTTGCCAGCATCATCTTGTTGATTTGTATGGCGGCATTGTTTCCAAACCACTGAGTCCCCTTCAACGTGCCGTGTGTCTGAGGACTTTCTGAGAACTGAGGCTCTTCAAACGGAGGACGGCACATTACCATTCTATCTCCTCTCTATCTAGGGAGCACAAAATTATCAATTAACACGTCTGAAGCTTGTGAGCAGCATCGATCTTGCTGCCTGTTTTGTTTGATGGTCTGATTTTTATACAGTGGTGAAGTACCAGCATATTCATGTTTACACTTTCATCACAAAAAATGACAGACTTTTCAGATGTGGAGGTAATAAAAATAATGACAGTGGGCGCCATCAAAGGCAGAAAACATCTGGTTCTCTGCTGAATGCTGGAATAGAGTCCATGTCTCAAAAGACAGCATGGTTACTATATGCATCCCTTCCAATATACCCATCAAGAGAATGTACAGCTGCAGAGAGGCATGCTGGGCTATCAGCGCAATCAGGGAATGGCATTAAGGCTGCTTCTGGCTGATGCCTACTACATGGTTAATGAAGCTATTTCAGGGCACATTGTGTCAGAGTGGGTAGCTCTATAGCCTAACATCTGCAGGGTCCCGAGTTTGGATCCCACTCCTGGACTCGGTGCGCGTGTGGAGTTTGCATCTTCTCCCCTGTTAATTCTCATGCAGTCTAAAAGCATGTGGATAGCTGAGGTTACTAAATTGCGCTCTGAGCGTGTCACGTGACAGACCACCACCTTGTCCATGGTGTGCTGCGGGTCCAGGGAGTGCTGGGACTCACTGTATATGAAAAGTGGTCATGGACGGATTAATATACGCATTGAACGTTCCTGAGTAGAGCCGCCTGTCTGTGTTGACTGATTATCTGTAGTAGGCAACACAAAACTAATATTATTACTTTTACTGGGCCATCAGAGAAACACATTCATGATAGTCCAGTATCACCGAAACTGCTGTATTGTTATTCTACAACCACTGCTACTAAAATGGTTTTCTAACTGAATTAAATGGGGGGAAAAAACAACTTACAAATCTCTCAATTGTTGGAATCAACCACACTTAAGGAGATAATGAATGGGGTAATTAGTAAATGAATGGGTTGTTCAGTCACTCAATGAGGCGGTGAGACGTGGGTGTCTGAGCCGCATATTGTTATTCCCTCGCAGGGCCCCGCGGCGCCATCTACAGCTCTGTCTGCTCATCCGCCCCGTCCATCTCTACAGCTCTATGGCCTGGTTTCAATAAGAAAAATAGAAATGTAAAGCACTAACCTTCCTTTGACGATGCTGCAAAGTGATCGCAAGGCACAAAAAATTGATCAGAAGGTACAAACTTGGTGAGAAAGTGCTGACGCGGCAGGTGTATGTGGTTGCGTGTGGGGGGGTAATTCAGCACCCAGTGCTAATTAAAAGGCTAACGAGGTGAGCGTGGCTCTGTCGAGGCAAGGCTGACAGACCCACTGCGGCGCCTGGACGACTGCCCCCAGAGGAACAAGGGCGCTGAAGACACATGATCATTACCCCAAAGAGCTGCACTCTGCGGGGGAGGGGGGCAGGGTATCCACTATCCTGGGGAGACACGGATCTGCCAGAGTGCGGAGTGTTCGTTTTGTTTAATTAGAACAAATTACCTCAGAGCTTCAGTGGTGCTGATTTATCGAGAATATAGCCCTAAACAGACCTTTCTGGTGTTATTAAAATACTACTTATTGTTAATGCACAGCATAAGCTGTAAGTAGACTGTGTGGTCATATGGAGCCTCCACCGTTAGATGACACTGATGCTCATTTTGTTTTTCAAAAAGATAACATTTGTCCGTCCATCCATCTATTCAGTCATCCATCCATCCATCCATCCTCCAGCCAATCACCCAGGGTTGCACATTGTCAGAAAAAGCATACCAATCTGGACCATTGCAGGTACAATTACTCGTCACTGGAGCTGTACTCTCAAGGGACTGCCAATTGTACCCTAGCCGCAGGTAAATGTACCTTTTCAGGTACAAAAATGGACTGAGGAACATCTTTGTACCATTGGGGGTATATTAATGTTGTTTGTACCTTAGGGAGCAAAAAAGGTAGCAGGGCTGGACCCTTTTTCCTGGCAGTGCAGGGAGCCTGCAGTCCCTCCCAGCAGGGGACACCCTGACAGGTTGCCAGAAAAACTACAACAAAGCTCCATAAAAGCAATGAAAGGAAAAAAAAACAAAAGCACAAATGCAGCTTCTTCTGAAAGGCTTTTGCTGTTTGGTAATGAACTAGCTCCTGTTCTTCTCTCACACTCGCTCTTTCCATTGCTTTTGTCCTCCGTTTTCTGGCTGTTTCACAGGATGCGAGTACAACCAGGGAATGACTCAGCCCGCAGATCCTATAGGGGGCTGCTGAGATGGGGGGGGGAGGGTCTCTGTAGGCACCACACTCCCATTTCCCTCGTGTCTCAACCACCAGCTGCGGAGTAATGGAATCACGTCAAGTTCGGGCTCCGGTCATTTCACAACAGGCAAACTTCATAACAGTCCTCTGGGAGCAAACCAATATGAATAAAATAACAATGGCAGTTCAAAGGGAGGCAGCAAGTGTCTAGCAGACTAAATTTTGTCCGAGAGACAGAGCACTGAACTGGGGGGGGGGGGGGGGGGGGCTGTTTATGCTCCAAAGGGGAGAAAAGGGTCGGCTTCCATACTGGAATAAAAGTGGTTCCTGTATATGACACAGCGTGACATAAGACAGGGAGGAACAAAAGCCCAGGCACAAAGAATACCACTGACATCTGTAAAAAACATAAGAAAGGACTAAAGAAGACAGGGGATAAACTGAGGAGCCGAATTACTGCAGAGTCAACTGCTATCTTGTGGCCTACAAACAAGCAGAAACCCCGAATGCGCAAACTGACATCTCAGCACACAGCAGACTCCCATTTCGACTGTGCAGACACAAGCCAAAGAGAAGAGCACAGAGGCTGGGGTGTTAAATCATATTAGTTGTATGGTCTTATTCCAGCCATCTGTTTCTCCATAGCTGTGTATCCAGTGTGGAAAAAAGGATACAGACACCAACAGACTATGGGAGAACAGCAGAGGACCTACAAAACACTAACCAGGAAGAACAGGGGGATGATCCATACATGTACATCCCACCTTATGCATGCTGATTTCAGGAAGGTGAAGATCTGTGAACTGGAAGGGACAAGGCACGGGCAATGAATTTTGTTCATGGGGGTGGGGTACCTCTTTCTGGCAAAATTTCAACTTCCGGGAGACTCCTAGAACTTCTGGAAGAGGTGGGGGTTTGGTGCATACTCTGCCGGGCAAGGAATCACGTCAAGAACGCAGCTACACTGCAACACACTGCAGTCGGCTGCCCCATTGGCATGTCTTAATGCGTGTATGGGATCACACATGCATGTCTGAATGCGTGTATGGGATCACACGTGCATGTCTTAATGCGTGTATGGGATCACACATGCATGTCTGGCATATCTAAATGTGTGTATGGGATCTCACATGCATGTCTGAATGCGTGTATGGGATCACACGTGCATGTCTGAATGCGTGTATGGGATCACACGTGCATGTCTGGCATGTCTTAATGCGTGTAT